GGGAAATACCAAGGAAGAGGGAAGAAACCAAAACCTACACTAAGTTTAATTTCTAAAAGAAGCTTTTTCATAAAAACAAACCGCTGTTGCTGTAGGCAGATGAAATAATCTGTTTACAAATATTCTGTAAGGAAAAACTAGGACTTGGAGTTGAGTAGGTATCCCAGACATTACAGCACAGTAAAACAGGAAAGCGTTAGCAAAGCGTTTGTGCATTTATTTTCAATGTTTTACTTCCCAATACAAAAAGCAGAGTATGAACCTATGGGAATAGCGATATTGCCGTGCTCAAGGTTATAGAGTGTTTTTAGAAAGACTGAGAAACATCCCAAGATACTGCGAAGTATCAACAATATTTAACTGGTAATTTATGGATGTTCTTAAGTTTGGTAAACTAATGTACGTTTTTACACAAGTTATAGATTCCTTTTCCTAACCACTCAAAAAGGCTGAAAGGTTACTTCATTTACTGCTTTATTTTGAGGTTTTCTGTTACAAGGACAAAGCATCACGCACAGGAGAAATACTCAAAGCTCAGGAAAACTGAAGATAGGTGGAATTACTGAGCCCGCCTTCAGATGTTGCTATGGGACGTACTCATGCGACTCTGCTCTACCGAGGAGGCAGGGCCTGCACAGACGGGGTCCGCTAGTCAGAGGGAGCGCCCTAAGACAACACAGAAAAACAATAATCTGATCGTATTTCCTGGATTTAGCTTTATTCTGTCCTGATGCTTCTATCTGCACAAAAATGATGACACAATAGTTAAAATGATCTTTTCCGTAATAGAAAAAAAAATTAATCAGGATTCAGAATATGGGATATTGAGAGCTTGCCCAGGAAGATGCAGCAGTCTCTTCAAAGAGCACATTTTGTATCATTTGATTTCTTAAATGTTAACAGCACGACAACTTCTGACCCAAACCAGAGCATCCTGTTAGTGATGGACTACATAACTCCAGTCAGAAGCCATATCAGATGATTTAAGCCAAATCAGATGACTTTTTACTGAATTACGCTATAAATAAAATAAAGCATAACTGGAATTTTTATACAGAAGCAAACCTGGGAATACCTGGAGAATACTTAGCAGCAAAAAGCACTTGATGCAGGTCAAGTTTATTGAAGGTGACAAGCTGTTTGGAAATTTTCTACAAGGAATTCAAGAACCAATATGTAGGAAAAAATGAAACTTCTTGTATACTCTGCTTTTCCGTTGTGAAATTGTACTCTCTGGTGATGAGTTATTTAGTAGTTTGAAGTGTTAAGGGGAAGATTCATCTCTTCTTACTGATGGCTACATATCAAAGTGCAGCAATTGCAGCAAAGACCAAAACAAGAATGCAGGGTCAAAATAGCTTTTGTTATCTTATCTATAGTATATTTTTCTGTCTGCTATTTTTTTTCTAGGATCTCTACCGGTGGAATTTTAACAGACCATAAAATAATATCTTGTTTACAAAATCAAGTTTACAAGTGTCAAAGAACACAGAAAGTGATAATTGCAAATGTCTTACAAACGCAAGATGAATCAGGACTTCAGTTGCTTTGGGTTATGACATGAATGTTGAAAAATGTTTCAGCTTTAGAAAAACTGCTGAAAAGTTGTCTTCTGCACAACCATTCTAGAATACTGTTATCCTCTACAATCAGTGGATTTTTAAGTTTGTTCAGGTTTTTTTTAGACATTAGCACACTGGACACCTTTGTCTTGCTCTGGTTTATATATTTGACTCAGCAGGGGAAAGCTAATCAGCATAGTCCAACAGTTCATCATTTGCTGAATGCTGTTACCAGCTGGTTTTATGCTTTAAGAAACAGACTTAATTAACAACTAAACCTGTCCTTTGGAAGGGCTGTGTGATAGCTGCAATGATCCAGAACTTTCATGTAGATGAACAGCACTGGCGTCCACACAGCCTGTTAAATACGCAGTACTGAAGTATATCAGTGTAATTATCAGTGTAATTATATTCAAGCAAATCCTTTTGATTGACTTGACAGAAAACTGAGAAGAACCACTGCTTACCTGGGCACTCGCAGCCTCCACCTTTGGCTCTGTTCGCCACAGCTGCTGCATAAGATCGCGCGTCCAAGATCAAAAGCTTCTGAGGCTGTATGGCCAAACTCTCCGCTCCTGAAGCATTAGAGATTGAGGAATCTGGGGAAGAGGATATGCAACTGATAACTGAAGGGATTCTTCTGACATTGTTTACAACAATGATCCACTCAAGTCCCACAATGCACATGCACTGCGCATACAGAAGTGGGAGAATGCCTGATTCAATAAAAAGGATTGAATCTGTTACGGTACATATCAACGATTCAGCTTTTATATAAAGCTCTGCCCTTTACAGAAGAGGAACAGCGCCAAACTTACCAAATTCCACATCAGAGAGGTCCCCTCCATTGGAGAAATCTCTGGAACAATTTCCATTCATTAATTTGTTACTGTTGGACCTTGAATCCGAGGCACAGGCTTTGGCTACAGACTGGACAAGGTGTTCATCATCTGCGTTCCTCCAGCCCCACCAACTGACCTCAGGCTGTCCACAGCGGGAAATAACTGCTCCATTGCTCTGGTGCCTGAAAAAGAAAACAGAGAGAACAGCGGTGCATAACTTGGAAGAATTTGGATGAAAAACACAGAGGGTTTAATGAAAAATTAAATTGTGCACTCCAGCAGTTTAATTCCTGTCGGGGACCTCTCTACCATTCAGCAGTTAACCTCAACCTGGATTCAGCGGCAATGTATTCCACGTGCTTCCCTTCAAAATGCTGTGACCACAGAGTCACTGAAAGGCAGAAGGCAAAGCTGAGGTCAGTAAGAGAAAACAAAGCATTTTCTTGCTCAATAGTGTTGCCTGTTGGCCAGTGAAAGATGGAGAACGTTTTGGAACAGCACATGAGGCATTAAAGAGGTATTCAACACCTGCTGGATAGTCAGGTCCACCAGAGTAAACTGGAGAGGTCAATTTAACTCACGCTAATTTTAAAGCTAGAAGACAGGAGTAAAACCATGGATTCACTTTTTGACGAGATATTTTAAATCAAAACATACCACTAATTAAATCTGAGGAATGTTACAACTTTGCTAGGAAATACCGGCAGAATTTGGCACACTTTCTGTCTGATGATGTCTAATAGCAACCCTAAACCTTACTCTTGTACATCAATGCCATTTCTAGGCATCACCCATAAATCGCAGGAGGTGGCCCTTGAACACTGCAGAACCATATCTAGAAGCCCATGTATTTTAGGAATTTTTTCACTAGCTAAAAGGAAAAGAGCCCTTCGCATCTCAGGATGCTAAACATTTGCAGTTTTACTCCTTTGGAAGTTTGGTATTAGCATCTGTCAGAAAGGATTGGCTCTGCCATCATCTTTGCAGCTTCTCCTCTGTGTATGGGTCTTGCTGGAGCGTGTCCAGAGAAAGGTAAGGAAGCTGGGGAGGGGTCTGGAGCCCCAGGCTGGTGGGGAGCAGCTGGGGGAGCTGAGGGTGTTCAGCCTGGAGAAGAGGAGGCTGAGGGGAGCCCTCATCGCTCCCTACAACTGCCTGAGAGGAGGGGGGAGCCAGGAGGGGTTAGGCTCTGCTCCCAGGGAACAGGCAATGGGATGAGGGGAAAGGGCCTCAAGTTGCACCAGGGCAGGGTTAGGTTGGACATTGGGAAAAATTCCTTCCCCCCAAGGGCTGTCAGGCACTGGAAGGGGCTGTCCAGGGAAGGGGTCGAGCACCCATCCCTGGGGGTATTTAAAAGCTGGGCAGCCAAGGTGCTTAGGGCCAGGGTTTAGTGGAGGAATGGCAGGGTTAGGGGAAGGGTTGGGCTTGGTGAGCTTAAAGGGCTTTTCCAACCTGAGCAATTCTATGATTCTGTTCTATGATTCTCCACCCCTCTGGGTACTGTTTCATCCGCTGCCTGTCAAACCCCAATCGTATCTAGCAGAAGAGCACCAAGGAGCTGATGACGAGCAACAGCAGCTCTTAGATGTAAGCACCAGTGTGGTGCCAGGCTGGTAAATAACAAAGTCCACACGCAAGTAAATTTTGTGGCAGACACAGAAGTAAGCACTGAGAAAGGAAATATTGTTTATTGGCAGAATATTTTTCTTCTAAAATCTGATATAAATTGCAAGCACTCTGTATACGGATAAAACTTCAGAGGACTGGCAAATGGAGTACGGTCTATCAATAAAAAAATATGTCAGGGAGATAACTGAAGAATGACCTAGCTTGAACGTAGCAATCTTCTTCCAGGGAGTGACATTAAAAAAATAAATCAGATTTTTTTTAGATGTCTGAAGAGTTAATAGTTCTTTTCTTAAATTTGACCTAGCTTCTTGTACTACACATAAAGAACAGATCTGAAATAAAACGTATCCAACCATTGCAAACATACTCTGAAAAAGAGTTTAAAACTCTCTCCTGTAATGTATCATAAAAAAAGAGTACTGAAACATATTAGCACTGTAATTTCACTTACTGCCTCCATGCTGGCACATCCTGCTGCTGTCAATGGAAGTGTAATTCCCCATTCACTGAGGTGTTTACATCTGGTACTAACAACGTTCTCCTTGACCTTCACCAGCCGTACCCCGAATTCAGAGGGCCTCAGCCATGGCAGGAAAGGAAGCCGAGCTGTGGGTATGAAGAGCTGCAGATGGAGCAGCCAAGGCAGAGGCTTCTCCCAGGCCACACGGCATGTTGATGATGCTGACGGAAAGTTTACTCCCTGTCTTGTGTCCCATCTGAAATACCCTATGACTTACTCACACATTGTTCTTCTCTCTTTAAATGGCCTGCAGATACACATCCCTTTAAGCAAAGGTGCCTCTAGGCAATGCCATTCCCACCAGAACCCCGTATTTATTGAGTATGCACATACCAATAACAGTTCCCTATATGTTACGATGCACCAAAGGATTTTAGGATCTTCCTGCAAACAAACCAGCCACCTCAGCTTCATGTCAACTAGAAGTTGTTTAATTTCCTCCAAAAAGGCAACTGCGCAGAATGGTGCAGGTTAGCTGAATCTTTAAGCAAATTTAAATGGTCGGCTTGGGCAGCCCTGAACAGGAAGCAAGCCCAACCAAACCTACCAATCTTAACTTTCCCCCCCCCCTCTCACCAGTCTAATAAATGTTTATGGAGGCATGACAAGCTGGTTTATAATTTGTTGTCAGTGGTGCTGAGCAGCACCACCTCTGCAGTGTCACTGTGGGGCACGGCAGTAGGTGGCAGCGACTGCCTCGTGCTACTCATTCAAAAGCAACACTTACATCGGGTTAAGGCTCCTCGTTGCAAAAAAATTAAAATTATAGAATAGGTTGTGATGCAGTATTTTAAATATTTTTCATAGCTCTTTTGTAATTGTTTCCTATAAAAATTCCTTCGCTGAGAGGAAGCAATGGACACACGGCATTAACCGAACTGAAGGAAAAGCAATCTGAATTCTGCGGCACTTGCAGCAGGTGCCAGCCGTCTGTGTGCAAAGGAAAATGTATTTCTGCGAAATGAATAGCCTTCCAGAGAAACAGCTCTTCCGGCATCAAATTAGTTCAGCAAAAAATATGTGCCAGTCACCGAAAGGCCACCTAGTTCCCTGCTACGCTTGCACAAATAACAAAAGAAAATAAAACATCATTATACGTGTAAGAAATCTGGTTTGAACACTCAGGTAAGCTCATTTATTTTTCCATATGTTCTCCCAGATTTCATTACTACCTGCCTGCGGAATAATTTTCATAGGTTCATGAACAGTTTTATTTTCACCTCCAGGTTCTTGCCTCCCATTTATACCACAAATAATAAAGAATCATTAGGCCAGAAGTCGAGTTCATTGATAGCTGTGAAGCCCGAACACTCCCAAGCCAGCACAAATATGCAATGTTCAGATGTACCAGCAGAAATCAGCATGCAATTCTATTTACGGTAATGTTGGAGGTCTGAGGAATCACACTCATTCCGACCAGACTGGCCACGGGAACAAAAAATAGCAAATAGTTTAAGTGTGATCCCGAGGTCCCTAAAGATAGAGCTGGGGATAAGATCACTCCGCTCTCAGTAACGAAAAAAAATGAAAGCAAACCCTCCACTGCAAATTTCCTAACCCTCTGGAGACAAAGGAATGTGCAGCCTCCCTACAGAAACTAAACCGTAAATCACCATTAGATAACTCCAAAGCCCTTTATAAAAAGCACTGTGTAATGGTATGATGTATGGCACACCTCTGCACATGCTTCATCTTCCTTGTGTTCCAGCAACCTTTTGAGTACAACGATAAATCCACCGAGTCCTTGTAACGACAAAGACAGGGAGGACTAATGAAGGTTTGAATAGCTTCCTCCGTAGCATTCCTTAACTACTAGTAATTGCAACTGGAAAAAATCATTGCTGAGATGCACGAATATAATTCAGCAAGTAGGGTACGCGGCAATCTTCCATTTCCCTTGGCTTCCTGCACTAGCAGAAAGGCTGCCTGCATGGGTAATCACCTTCAGTAGTGGGCCGGACAGACAGACACCCTCACCACAGCTGATTTTCAAGTAGATTCTCACGAGTTTAAGGACACTTTATATAATGTATGAAGTCCCCTCTGTTGTCTTTCCACAAAAGGCTTCTCCTTAACATGGATTTTCGGGGCCCAAGACAGGTAAGCTCCAAAAATCATGTCACAGGCCAGATTTATCTACAGGAACATGTGCCTAGATTTTAAAAAATTGGAAACAGAGAAAAAACGCCGAAGCTGGCTGTGAGGTTTTTCTACAAATCTGATGGTAAAATAGAAGCAGCGCTCCTGACAGCCCAATCTCAGCTGGGTATTTCTGAAGCTTGCCTCTCAATTCAGCCTGCTCAGCTTTTCAGCCTGCACTCAGCTCTTGAATGAAGAGCAGACAATGAGGTTTTCATTGCCAAGCATCGGTGTCTCTGGTCTGTCTCTGTCCCAGGGTTCAGTATCTGAAACTCATTATCGGATGAATTAAAAAAAAATATATTTTTTTCCCCCTGAGGCAAAGCAAGAAGAAATTAATAGAAATTAATGAAATTAATAGTCCCCAAGCCATCTTCAACAGATAAAAAATGCTGAATGAGCTTTTGTCTGTTACTCCTCCAAAAGTAAGAAAAAAAGGTATTTTTATGGCAAAATTTATATAGAGAGAAAACTATACATGGATTTCCAATCATACGGATCATCAACCACTAGCTGATGTGAGTTCTGCTAGAGCGCAGAGTGATGAACTGGATGTCTTGAAAGATCTATTACTAAATGTCAAGATAAGGAAAAAAAAAAATCAAAGAAGAGAAAAAAACTTTTCTCCCACTGATTTTAAGATTACAAATGAAAACCGATGCAGTAATTTAACAGAGTCTCATCAGAACTGCAGAAAATTGAATTCCAGGAATGAAACAGTCTATGAGGTCTCTTGAACATTTAAATCACATTCCCATAAATCCCCCAGCACGCAAGCTGTACCCAAGAATGCAAAGAAAGCGACCTCCTCCTCTTGTACAGTGATGCAATGAGGGACCCTTCCCTCTGCTACGCATGCTTGCAGGTGAGATGTCCTCCAGTTGTGTGACCTCTGCATAAAAGGCACAAAGTTGCCTGAAATGCAGTGTTCAAAGTTGAACACAAACCCATATGTAAATTACTGTTCTCTTTTATACATATATATAATATACGTACTTATATCTACTATCATAATAATAAAATACCTTAAGTCTTAAAATAATTGGCATATGCTCGGAAGCATTTTTCCCCCTCACAGAACTGAACAGAGGACGGAGCAATTCCTTAAAATTCAGAAAGAGACTATGCTAACCCCTTTATTATTTGGAAGAAAAGGAGAAAAAAATAGAAGGATTTCAAGATAACTGTCTGCTACCACAAGCTAATTTGTTCTGCTGTCATAGCACAAGAACTCTTAAGCTAGGTAAATAATGTTTTGTGGCCTACTCTTAACTCTCATACGCTTGCTCCTCCGACCCCTGCGGTATGGATTTGTCAGCTTCACCACTCTCTACATTTAACTTGCCACTCAGAACAGCTTTTCCTTTCTGTCTGTTTAGAAGGAGTGGGTGGCTTAGGCAGAGTTAATGGAATTATCAGTATTCATTATCTTTTTAATCCCTTTGTCATCTGATTTTTAAGAGATTTTAAACATTTATGGAAGGGTAACTACACCAGGAAAGCAGCCAAGGTATTAAATGATAGGTTCCAGAATATTTGGGGGGGTGGGGGGGGGAGCCAGCAGATGCTGAAATACATTTCTTACTAAAGAAGCTGCCAAAACCCAGTATCTCAGAAAAGCAATTTTGTTACGAAGAATTGCTGGACTCTATCTAAGGAAGAGACTGTCTGATTAAAACACATACATTGCTTTGTAATTTGAGTTTTATATCTCCCTTAAATAATTTCTGTATTTATCCTCGTTTATACTGCAGTCTGAGTATCGGCCAGATGACAGTCAGAGACAAACCAAAGGAGTAGTGTGCCAGACATGCCATTTATCATTTCTTCAGCTGTGTTGATGTCTTCCTCTTACACTTTTTCATTTTCATATTAAAAAAAATAGAAACAATCTTAATTGAGGTGACTGCACTAGGAATGACTTGCAGGAGATGCAAATGCTGAGTGCTCTGACAATATACTTGGAATTAAAAGATACAAGCCATTATTTCCACTCAGAGTGATGGTGCCGTAAGTCTGCCTTACCTCGTTCATGGCTTGACAAGGGCCAGTACGTGCTGCTGTCTCACGTGTTCTTGGAGTTTTGCATAGGTATAAAACAACACATATATAGGCAGCAAATGGGGAGACAAAGACCCCAAGCTATCAGGCTTAACAGCTCATGCTTTGCCATCAGTTAAATATAGGTCTGAATGTTTTCTCATCCAAGGGGTCTCCTGTCTTGGTATCTTCTCTCGTTTGATATCTAAACTCTCAGGGTGGTTTGTGTTTTGTTCTGAGGTCCCATTCTCTACACTGCTTCTGGGATCCTTCTGGAATGGAACAGCAGGACCTCACCCCAGACAGAGTCCCAGGGTGGATCAGCTTGGGTACCACTCCAACAGGCAGCACGGAGGGGACAGTGCCAGTTTTTATTGCCTCTTTCCAGCCTAGTTCTCCAACTCTACCCTAGCAGGCCCTGGGCCTTCATGCAGCTTCCCTCCACATCATGTTATACATGCAAAAACACAGCAAGATGCAAGCCAGACCTCTCTTTACTTTGAATAAATTATAAAAATATTATTTTAAAATACCTTTAACACTTTTGCTAATGTCTGTCAGGCTCCGTGAAGGGACATCTGGGGCCCAGAAGAGCCTGAACACCTTTCATTACAATCCAAGATTCTCAGTTACAACTTGTTTCAGCTTTTATTTGCTAGAACACCCCATTTACAGCCTGGTGAAAGCCGTTCCGCCCGCAAGAGCCTCACCTGTACACAACAGCAGGGATACGCTTCCAGGACCGAAAGCTCGCCACACTCTCTAGCTCCTTATCCGTGATCCAGGCGGGAACTATGATTTCCTGCGGGTAACTACCACAGAGCCTGTGAGAAAAGCGGTGCAAAGGCTTGAACATAAGCAATATGGAGCAGGTACACACTGCGCAGACAACACACAAATAAGCAGTATAAGCAACCTATAAGCTTAAGCTGTTCAGCTCAGCAAACTGCCGTTTTGTTAATTCCTGTCCCACTGTATGTTAATAAAACTCTCCTTTGCATATACAAAAAGCACCGCAAACATCAAGGTGCATGAATGCATTTCAGAATTGTAAGATTCAAGCTGGTGTTTCCTTGGGAAATTCACATGGAGGTGATTTTTAACTCCAGCTGCTGAAATAAACTGGACCACAGAAAAAGAGTTTCAGGTCTGTCCAGGCTAAAGAATTAGCCATTTGATTGCTGGGTCACAAAACACAGCAGCAGAGCCACTCTGGGCTACTGGATTCAAGACAGAAAACTTGTGTAACTGTGGAAAAAGTCACTGGCGAATCAGCCCTTGCTAAAGGCAGGAATCCAAGTGCACTGGCTTACGTTTGGCTGGCTAACGGGAACTTTCTTCTACCTCCTACTTCACAATTTAACCAAGAAAGCCATGACAGAACAGTGCAAGCAGGCAGTAGTGACTCCAACGTATTGCTGAATCATAACCCAGTTCACCCCAGTCCATCCCCTTAAAGGGATGCATTTACTGCACAAGAAGGACAGACAGAAACACGTGTCTAAGACTGTTCCATTCAGGAAAATGCATCAATCACCCTGAAAAAAGCTCTTTTCTCAAGTGCTGGCCACAAAAAGGAAAGGAGTAGCTTTTGTCATTCTGCTTCCATATGACACAAAGGTTTTTTTTCCTTTTTTCTTTAGTATCAGATACATAAGGGATAGCTATTTTTCTTCCCTAGGCTTTTAGAGACCAAGACAGATATTCCTCTTGCAGTGACACCAGCTACCAGCTGCAAGTCATTATCCTGCAAAGACAGAGCAACAGAACATGTTTCAAAGTGTTACTGCTGGTTTTGCTCTGAATGGGATTAGGGACCCACTAGAGAAGACATCTGTCTATGCCTTCAGGACCACAGAAAACGTTTGCTCTTATGTTCAGGATCTACAAGCTTCCAAACCAACTTTTTTGTTTTAATACAAGTCTTTGTTGCAAGTTAGAGAGTAAGACACAACTAAAAAAATGGTTTTTAGAAGCTCAGTCAAACTCTACTTTTTGCTCACTCAAGGCTTCTCTTTCTTCCATCAGAACACTTATTCTCTAAGTCGTCCTCCAGCAAGCACAACAAAATCTGGTATTTCTAAGCCTACAAAAATTGTAGTAGCTAATAAAATATTACATAATACTTTAAAAACACTTTTTTCCCCTATAAAACAACAAGAAAAAAAATCGTAATTCTAATTGTCCCTTATTAGGAACTGTAGAACTTGGAAAAAGTTCCAGTATATAACAAAATTGGTGTTTTGAGATGCCATTTGGCTGTGCATCAGCAGCCCACAGAACCTACTTGTACTTCTCATTGATGTTGGAAATCCTCCAGGCATTGTTCATATCAAACCCCATCCGCTCCACTTCATTTTTAAACCTTGAAGTTACATGTTCTCCTGGGTATCAAAAGCAGAGAGAAAAAATAAATGCAAAATAAGAAGTAAGATTCCTACCTTTCAGTTAGAGAAAAACACCACTGCGCTCATGCTTATTAAAAACCAAAAAGAGAAAAGAACAGTCCAAACGCACCATCTACATTTCACGACCCTACTTTGGAAATCTGTATCAGGAGAACCACAGCTTGTACTGATGGCTCTCCCTGGTCAACTCTCCCGGAACATCCAAGTCCATCAAGGACTTTTTCTCTGAAATGACCAGCTTCTGTAAATTCATATAGGAAACAGCAACGCTGCAGACCAGAACCAAGCACATCAGCAAAAGCAGTTTAGATCCATCAGCAGTCTTAGAAAACGCCAGTAGTTTTTCTTTTCTGAAGTTCAGAAGAATTTTATATCAATGAGAAGAATGCAAAGCTCTGGTCTGACTGATACGTGAAGGGGTAATATATAGAACGTGGTCTGGAACTTGGGCAATCTCCATTTAGTATGCAATTTCAGCCACGGGTTTCCTGTATGACTGTAGGCAAGCCCTGTAATTCAACCTGCATCTCAGTTTTCCATCTGTAAAATGGACATTATTCCTCCACCAGTCATGTGGAGATATGAAGATGCATAAATGATTGACACAAATATTAGTTGCAAGATCCTCACAAATTTCTGGATGAAGATATTAAAGGAACTGGAATGAGCTCCATTGATTTCCTAGACACTTTTTTAAAAGTATCAAAATACAATTGAAAAAATACAATGGCAATAAAAAATAATTATTCTGATAGACAGAAAGTGTAGAGAACTAGGAGGCACTTGATCAATGTGTAGAAGAGAGTAACGTACAAAATTTCCAGGTTCACAGAGGTAAGAAAAGTGATAAATTTAATGAGGATGTGAGCAACACTATATAAAATGATTCTGAAAGTCTGTCCTTTGCTTGTCTTTTTAAATTACTGTATCATTAAATCATGAGGCAGAGCATGTCCCAACGGGGGAAAAAAACGTGTTGAAAAATTAATGCTTTAGGTATTACATTTTTCCATTATGTATTTCAGGAAACCCTTAAAGTCTTTCAATACCCAAGATATACGTAGATGTATATTTATCTCAAAGTGTAAATGTACATCTGAAACAAATTTTTATGTGACATTACAGAACAGTTAGAGATAAATACAGAGAAATAGGTAAATTAAGAATAAAGATAGCAGCCTAGCTACAGGACTTCATTAACTGTGAAAGAAAAAGCTATAACGTTATTCATTCCTACAGGTCAGATCATACTCTGAAAATGGTACTTTGCAAATCTAGACATGCTTTACAATAGGGACAATGTGCAAGAGAGCTGCATAATGACATTATTTTTCTTACGCTTTTTGAAAGGTAAAATGTGAGACTGACACTGTGTGCAAAGGGAGAATATTCACTCTTCAAGGCACATGGCGGTAAAATCTATAGACCTGAATGACCATCAGCACTTATTCCCTTTACGTTGTGTCACGGGTACAACAGCACCATAAAAAAGAAGTAGTTCTGCCTCCTGCGCCATGCATTTTCGGCAGAAGGCTACTCTCAGCATCACACAGGCAGTGTAGTTCTGCTCTACCTTCCCTATCGCCAGGTCAATTAGACTGGAGCTTGCCAACGATTTGCTGCTTCTCCCGTGAACTCGGCATGAGCTCAAATTCCTCCTAGCCACCTACTCAAACAGATCAGCTGCTTGAGTCCCTGTTTTACAAAAGCTGGGTGGCTCCAGAGACGGCAGCTCTGTGAGGAGCCTGTTGATCCTTTGTCAAGGGCAGAGGTGAAGCTGGGATAATACGTTGCTGGCTGTCTGGAACCTCTGTCATGTTCTTCCTTAGCAGTGACTTTAAAAAACAAACACACCCACACACACCCCCCCCAAAAAAACCCCCAAACAACCAACCCAACAAACTTTTACTGGAACAGCAGCATGCTCTTGCAAGCACTGAGGATGGGCTTCATTATCAACTGCTTTGAGGAAGGGTCATTAAAACTTGTGATACATCCTTAGGGATTTTTCTGGATAGCAAAGGAGAATACTGGAAATATCCCCCTGCTGCCTACCAGGTTTTAAGAGAAACACATAAAACTATGTGAAAATTAAATATTCTGTTTGATTTCTTCCTGTTAATTTTTCAGCTGCTGTGTGTGTCGTGAAATCATAGATTTTCCTGAGAAATGAAACCCTAGCCTTAACATTTTGTCCATTCCTCCTGAAATACTGGTATTTTAAGAGGCATTTTGAGCCAAGATGGATAATATTTTCGAAGCATCCCAATCAATTCTCAAAATCAGAGAAAAAGCAAGCTATACATTTTGTGGACTTGTGCCTTCTAACTAGAAAAGCTGATCTTGTGAGCCACAGTTCCTGTCTCACATTACATACATTGATAACAACTTACATTTTTTTTTCCCAGAAGTTGATACTTCAGTAGATTCTGAAGCAATTTAGTATTTTTGTCCATATCTACCAAATATTGGGTTCCTTGGATGTAAAAAAATAAATTACAATGTCTAGGGATTAACTTCATTAATTATATTCCCATAGATTCATTTCAACTATAATTCAACTCTTAGAAGGTATCTACCACCAGAAATAAGCAAGCTACAGGGAAGAAAAAGTTACTACGTTAAAGAAAATTATTTGATAGACACACCTACAAGAAAAAAATTTGATTGCTAAAAGTTAATAAAAAGGCAGATGTTGCTTCTTATCCTAACCTAGTGTTAGGTTGAAGCCCATCTGTTCCAGCGACGAGAGAAAAGGGCTACAAGGAGACTTAGCAAGCCCTCCGCATGTCTGCTGTATTCCAGTTCCTGAATTTAGTTAGGAGGGACAAGACCCGAGTTTAAAATTCTGCTCTAAAGAAATTTTTGCGTTTTTTCAGTAACTGCAAACATGAAGTGTGTAAGTGCGGGAACAGGAACCAGAACCAAGGAGCACCTCCTCCCACTTGTGTATTACCTCTTCCTCAGGTGCCAAAGAGATTATTGTCCTTGCTCAGCCCCAGACCAGCTTCAGGAATAAGGACAGAATCCCACTAACATCCCTCAACCTGATAACTGGGTCACGTTCCTCAGATATGTGAATTGTGAGCGATGAGAGCCTCAGATTGGAAAGGGCCTGGAACTCAAACTCCCTTATATTCAAAATGCTATAACCACTAGCATCCCAGTTTTTAGCTTTTATTTACTTGTGGGCTTCTAAAACTTTCCAGCAAGGATGATATTTCGCTAAAGTAGGTCGCTGTCTTGCAGCTGTGAATGAACCTCAGGAGTAGCCCAGGGACTTCCTTCTCCTTCACCTCCAGCTCCTCAACATCCATGCTGAAGACCACTGTTCTAGGCAATTACAAAAAATGTGGGCACAATCAATACAAAATGTTCTAGATTGAAATTTGCTGCCATGGTGAACAAAATGTTATTAGTTTTATACACGACTGACTAAATCAAATCCACCACAATAATTTCCTCAGGAGATTCAGGTACTGCTTTGCATACTGATCCCAAAGTAGAAACACAGAATCATTTAGGTAGGAAAAGACATTTCAAATTATCAAGCCCAACCATTCCCCTAACCCTGCCATCCCACCACTAAACCCTGGCCCTAAGCACCTTGGCTGCCCAGCTTTTAAATACCCCCAGGGACGGGTGCTCGACCCCTTCCTCGGGCAGCCCCTCCCAGTGCCTGACAGCTCTTCT